AGGGCTATGAGTTGCCTACGGGGTTATATTGTGCCTAGAAGTGTTATGATTGCCTACAGAGCTATATTGACGCCTAAGAAGGCTATGTACTTCCTACAGGGCCATGTTGTTGCCTAAGAGGTCTATGAATTGTCTATAAGCTACGTTGATGCCTAAGAGAGCTATGTGATACCTACGGGGATATATTAATGCCTAAGAGGGCTATGTGACTGCCCACGAAGCTAGGGGACTAGTAATAGGGGTATATAGGCTGATTGGCACCTTCCGGGCTTATGGGGGCCTGAGTAGGTGGTCTTGTGTGCTATTCGTACCTGCCGAGCTTATGGGGGTTTGGTTAGGTTGTTGTTTTATTATTTTTGATAAGTTTAGATTTAGGAGCAGGTCAGTACACTTATCTTATCCTTGATTTATTTATTGGATTATTCCAGTATATTAGGATACCTCATCATAGTCTATTGCCTTTCATACTCTGTACATTATTTTGTACTCGAATCGCCCATGGCCTTGGGGGCACTACATTCATGCATGCAGGTCCTGACAGACGACTGAGTAGACCTCCTCAGCAGCAGGATTGACTTTTATCCGATTGGCTTGCCCCTTTCCTCCGAAGCTGCCAGAGTTGAGAGGTTTGTTAACTTTTGTTGTATATATCTTTATGGGTAGGCTGGGGCCCTGTCCCACCAATCTTTACTACTCTTAGAGGCTTGCAGACTAGTGTGTGGGGTTTATAGCTACGTTATGGCCATGCTGGCGTATGTTGTTGGTTTGCGGAAGCTTGTGAGCTGTTTGATGTATTGTATTGATATATACCTGCTTTTTGTTTGGTATAGATATCATGGTGGCCTCGACGGCCCAATCAGGACTTCTGTGCTAGTTGGCTATTTATTTATATGATCTCCTGGGAGTAGCTGTTTCTTGTATAGATAAGTTGACAGGGGCCTTGCCGGCCGATGACTTAGTTTTAAGTCGAGATATACTTGTTTGATTTCTTGATTGCGTGTGGCTGCCATGCGCTAGTAGCAAATTGTTCAGTAGGGTCGGCTCGGGCCTGAGTTTTCGCATTAGGAGCCAGTTGCGCCCTTCGAGTTTGGGGCGTGACATTGATGGTGGTGGATCAAGAAGAATAAATTTACCTACCAGAAACTGATGTCTTTGTCATGCCATGAATTTTATAAATGCATTAGCTATCTAACGATCAATGGACACGTGTGGAAGAGTGCTATCTCCAGGTTAGTAAAAACAAACACAGTAAAGATGAAATAGACAGAAAATAAATAGTCCGAGTCCACAAAACCCAATGTGTATCCTTAAGAAGTTTAATCCCCTCAAGTACCCGAGTTAGTAGATTAATTCCAACCAAGATAAAACATATTAACTATTAAAGAGGTAGCGGTACCTCAAACTTCAATAGTTTCAACGAACTAAAAGAACATCAAAGAGAGCACACATAGACTCAATTGATTGACAATTTGATTTGTAAGAAAATGTATGCAAAAGAGAGAAAGTTTTCCGTGTTTGAAAAATGAGAAAAAATATATCTCTTTACGTTATGCGCAAATTTTCAAATAATTCTGCTATGCAAAATTAATTCCGTAAATTAATTAATTAACATTCTGAATTATTTTTTATGAAAAATGAAATTAATTAATGAGGTTGATTAAATAAATTTTGCCTAAAAAATTATCAATCAATCACATCATTTGCCAATGCCAAAGCCGAAGCCGAGCGAGTGACGACAATGACACAAGGGGGCACTTCTACTTAACCCTTTAAGATATAAAGGAAGTGTTCCCTAATATAAGGACAACACTTTTCCTTTCTTCTAACAATATGGGAGAAATGATTTTCATTTGCAAAGACTTTCCATTTGAAATGACTTTTCATTTTCCCTCCAAATTGGTTCTCCCACATTTCCCAATTTCTCATTTTTTTATTTCCTATTCACACCTTGCTAAAACCCAATAAAGAGTAATGGCTCTATTATCTATAACTTCTCGCATATAATAACAATCTACTTCAATGTGTTTGGTCCTCTTATGATAAATCAGATTAGTAGCAATCTGAATATCACTTGTATTATCATCATAGAGAGGAGAAGGATTAGATTGAGGAAATCCAATCTCAACAAGTAATCCATGAAGCAGTACAACCTCAATGCAAGTAGTAGACATAGATCGATATTCAGCCTCTGCTGAGGATTTTGATACACGGACTTTCTTCTTACTATTCTGAGATATCAATGATTGTCCAAGAAACATGCACCAACTAGTGACTGAATGATGAGTATCAGGACATCCTTGCCAATCAGAACCACTAAAGGCATTAAGATGAATAGGAGAACCACAAGGATAGAATCATCCATTTGTAGATGTTCCTAGAAGATACCGAATGATGCAATGAATTGCCACCAAATGGATATGACGGGGAGCTTGCATAAATTGACTAGCTTGCTGAACTACAAAAGAGATATCAGGAAAAATAATAGTAAGGTAATTTAGGCTCCCAACTAATTGTTGAAATATAGCTGCATCAAGAAGAAGATTGCCTTCCTCATGACGATACTTCATATTCAATTCCAATAAAGTATCTACGAAGGAGGAATCTTGAAGACCATCTAAAGAAATCAAATTCTGAGTATATTTGTGTTGGTTTAGAAACACACCTGAAGAATTATTATGAACTTCCAAACCTAAGAAATATCTAAGAGTACCAAGATCTTTCATATGAAAAGAATCTTTAAGTTGCTGTTGGAGACTAGTGATTAATGAAGAATCTGCACCCGTGATAATAATAATGTCATCTACATATACCAAAATAAGAACACAACTTGTATATGTGTTTTGAAGAAACAAAGATGAGTCGTATTTGCTCTAGTCAAAAGAAAATTGTAGCAAAGTAGATCAAAATTTGTAAAACCAAGCCGTAGGAGCTTATTTTAGTCCATACAAATACCACTTCAACTTTCATACATATGATGTAGGTGATGGGAACAAACCAGATAGAGGTTTCATATAAATATCTTCTTTAAAATCACTGTGGAAAAAACATTTTTGACATCCATTTGATGAAGAGACTAGTTTTGCGAGGAACCAATGGCAATAATTGTTCTCACCGTAGTAATTTTGCTATTGGTGGAATAGTCTCTTCATAGTCCACACGATACTCTTGTATATTACCAATAACAACCCATCGAGATTTGTATTGATCAAGAGTGCCATCAAAATAAACATTAATTGAATGAACCTATTTACATCTAATTGGATAGACATTTAAAGGATATGAAACATTGTCCCATGTGTTATTTTCTTTAAGGGTCAAAAGATTTTCCTCCATTGCTTTCTACAAACATTCATGCTTGGAAGCTTGTGCGTAACAAGTTGGAACAGAAATGGTGGATAAAGTAGAGGAAAATACATACCAATTAGGAGTACGAGATACTCTACTAGATCACCGAGTAGGAATAGGAGGATCAGACCATGAAAAATTCTCAAATTCTAGTTGTGGTGCAATCTCAGGTGGCAGATCAGTTGAGGGATGGGGCAGAGTTTGCCGATATCATTCATACACAAATACAAGTTTGGACCACTTAAAATAAGATCATAAATCCTCAAAAGTAGGAAGACAATGAGAAACAGAAGATGACTCAACATGAGTAGAGAAGAACAATTGATTATCAAAGAAAACAACATTTCTAGAAACATGAAATTTGTTAGAATATGGATCATTGAAAATAAAACTTTTATGTGAAGTACTATAACCCATAAAAGCACATTTATTAGACTGGACATAAAGTTTATTGCGTTGAGAAGGAGGCAGATTGTAACATCCCGAAAATTTATAAGTTAAGACTTGAATCATTTTTCATTTACTTGTAGGGCCATATCGGGTGATTCTTAAATTTGTCCATATGTGTAAAGGTAAATTCTTTTGTGTGGGAATGAATTTAGATATTAATTAAGGTGACTAAAAAAGCTCCAAGCACAAAGTTGAGTTGAAAGTTTCCTTACCGATTAAGTTTTGACATAAGATTTTACTTAGGTCAACTTAAAAAGAACATATCTCTTAGAATATAAAGAGTTACATTATCCGTAACCTATCAAATTAAATGTCTTTGAATTATATTTCCAATTCCATTAAGTTTGCGTTATTCCGCCATTGGAGTAGAGAGTTATCATCATTTTACTAACTAATGTAGTGCAGTTCCGTTTTAGGTGCAGGAAAGTTCTAAATTAGGTAATTTTCTTCTCCTTATACCACTAGGAAAACCTTAAAAATGGATTCTTAACTCCTATAAAGGTCTAAACAATCGTATTTCCATATTTTAATCCATCAATCTCTTCTCTCTCAAACCCTAAGGCAAAACTCTAAGGAAAAATCAAAATAGAAGACTCAATTCAAGATTCTTTCCATCTTTCTCAAGTCTCTTCTTCAAGGTAAGTCCTTATCCAATAATTTCATTCTATCCAACTCAAATTCCTCCGTACAATTATGAATCACTAATTAAAATTATAATTCTTGGTCATAAAGTTTCAAGAAACTAATTCAAGAAATTTGAAGAAAGGTCTTCTTGATTGTTCTGATTCAAGCTAGGGCTTCAAGTCTTCCAATCAAGTTCTTCTTTAAGATTTTTCTAGATTCTTCAAGAACCTTGTTCTTCCAGGTATGTAAGGCTATCATAGTGTTAGACTAGTTCTTCCTCACGCCCTACATCTACTTTCATATCAACAAAAGAGTAATCTAGTATTCTACACTTCGATTTGAGTATTTTTGAGATGGGATAATTTTGAGTTCTCAAGTTCCTATTCCTTTTTGAAATTCTACTCCTAATTATTGAATTGATATATTTTATCCATTAACATTCTTGAGTTGAGTCATTCATGTCGATAATTTCTCACGAACATCCTATGTATTAAGTTATAAATTTTGATAAGCTTTCTAAAGACAATACTTGAGTTTTAAACTGAGTTTTTCGAGGAAGTAAAGATGAGTTTTGAGAAATATTTGTATTCATGAGTTTCTATATGGTTTTTGAGGTCCTCAAGTTGAGTCATTCATGTCCATAATTCCACATGAACCTTATGATTTGAGTTATAAATTTTGGAAAGCTCTTTAAGGCCAACACTTGAGTTCTTAAACTGAGTTTTGAGAAAAGAGTTTCTAAAACATGGTTAGTATGTCAATCGAGTAGGCCATCAATGTATGAGAAGTATGGTATCGAGATATACAATCAATGTTTATGCAGTATGAATTCCCGAGTCATCAATGATCATATTAAAATATGAATTTGATATACTTTTGAGAAAGAGTTTTCAAGTATGAATTGAGTAACAGTATAAGGAGACTATGTATTCCTAGAGGTATCAATTTTTACATTGATAAAAGCGAAATTGAGATTTCTAAATGAGTTATGAGTTCAAAAGATATTTCAAGAGAAGTTACCTCTCTTAAGAGGGTAGTTCGAGCAATTATCTAAACTAGAGGAAGAGTTATGTTTCAATACATATGAGCGCATGAGTATATATTATTGGTATTAGTATTGGGCATCGATATGGGGAAGAGTTCAGAAAACTCAAAGTCCTCATAAACCATGTATGCCAACATCGGTAAAGGGCCATACTTTTTAGATGAATTCTTATTGCTTTTTAGCATAGCTTAGTGGATCCACTTAGTTGATGTGTTCTATACCCCGGCAAGGTATAGGACAGTTCTGGCAGCATGGGCGAGACGTTGTATCATCATGTAGCTCATAGTGATGGTTGCCAGTTAAAGAATCTCCCAATAGAGTTAATGTGTATTTTTATATATGTTGAGTTCAAAGATGAGAGAGTATTTTGTAAAGTTTTAAATAATTTTACTCCTTTATTTCTTTACATTAAGTTGAGTATATATCTATATCTACTACAGTCCTTTCATTTAGTAATTTGTTTATTCAACCATATTACATACTCGTACATTCCATGTATTAATGTCATTCGACCTGCATCCTTTCATGATGCAGATATAGGTTCTTAGGATCCTCAACATGAGTCCGTTAAGATCACTTCATCTTCTCGCCATCTTTTGAGTAAGACCTCCTTACTTTCGGAGGACTCCAGCTTTATGTATTGTTAGTTTTAGTAACATTTTGTGTAGTTGTCGGTCTTGTCCCTACGCTCGTCTATATATAGTAGAGGCTTCATAAATAGACATTTTTGGAGAGTCTTTCACTTTTAGATATTTTATTTAAAACTTTTGTTTCATACTCAGTATATTCAGCGAAGTTTTGAGATTCAGTGAACTATGTTTAAACCTTTCTTTCAATTTGATGCTTATGTATGTTTGAGTTAGTCTTCCATTTGTAGTCAACCTTTATAAGGGTTCGCTTGTGGGCCAACAATGGTTCTCGAGCGCCGGCCATGTCTAGGGTGTAGGCTCGGGTATTTACAAATTTGGTATCAGAGCACAGTGTTTAAGTATCCTAGGTATCTATGAATCTGTGTCAAGTAGGATCTTATTTATGGTTATGAGGGCCCCACTTCTATAAATGAGGGACTACAGACATTTAGGAAACATTTCCCTTATTTCATACTCTAAATCGTGGAGTAGAGCTATGTCGTAGGGAACTTATTCAAACTCGTGTGTTTCTCAGATTCATTCGACTACCCCTTATACTCAAGGTAGTTGAAAAGCAAAGCTAGTTCCAAATCGATGAGTTAATCTCAGCAAAATTCTTGAGAAAGTCATGGAGAATGCAAAGGGGCTTAAGAGAATCCCATGAGTGAGCTTAAGTGTTGAGATTCAAAAGAATGCACTATTATTTATATGAATCATGCGTTTGAGCAAAAAGCGATATGTATTCCTAGACTCTTTTCTCTAACCTTGTTTCAGTTGAGACCCTTATGCCAAAGTGTGTTTTGGAGCTTAGGTAGTATTTTCATCTGAATAGATAGTGTGAGTTATTAGATTATAAGCCATAGTAGTAAAAGTGCCCAAAGTTAGAAAAATGCATGCAGAAGTTCAGTAATCTAAGAAAGGGAGATAGTGATGAGGCAAGCTATGTTATTATAGCCATGCACCCAGTAGGTTATTAATGAGGTGTTTTCCCTTATGGGTAGACTAAGAAGTAATAATTTTGTATAGAATTCATGATAGAAGGTAGAGGAACAGTTACTAGTTAGGATGGGTTATAGTATACTTTAACTAGAAAGGAGGTTATGATGATATGTCATTGTGTTAGTAATGATCAAGTGTAGTTGAATAGAAGAGTAGGAGTATTCATGAGGTGATAGCTCTAATCTAGGATTATGATCTTTAATGGAAAGCCCATAATATTCAAAGGGTTATAGAACTAATTAGGCAATGATGTATAGTGAATGAGTAAATAGTACTTAAGTCGTGAAATTGAATATGATGATAATTCATAAGTATGTAGAAAGAGAGATAAAGATTGACCGCTTCTCATGAGATTTTAGTGGGAGAGTGTTTCTTAATTTGTATATCTTAGTTATAAGTTAGTATAGTAAGCAAGCAATCATATTGATATATGGCTTTATTAATAAACATTAGGCTTGAATTTGAGATGAGAGCG